AAGACCTGTCTGCTCTTCACTAATGCTAAAAAGAATATTCTGTGTGAGAAGCCACTGGCCATGAACACCAAGGAAGTGAAAGAGATCCTGGCTTCAGCCAAAAAGAATAACGTTTTCCTAATGGAGGTAAATATGTTGCTCTAAAGGAAGAGTGAAAATAATTTGGCTTTGTAGATTTTACGAGAAAATCGTCAAAAGGTAAACGGTTCAAAAAGCCTTCTGTCTGCAGGCTGTGTGGACCCGCTTCTTCCCAGCGTCTGTGGAGATCAGAAAGCTTCTGGCTCAAGGGGAGATGGGGGAGGTTAAGATGGTCCGTGCAGATTTTGGCGTGCCGCTGTTGCATGTTCCCAGAGCTGTGCAGAAGGACCTGGGTGGAGGAGCGTTACTAGATCTCGGTATCTACTGCCTGCAGTTCATAACTATGGTGTTCAATGGAGAGAAGCCAGAGGCTATCCAAGCCAGCGGAGTCTGCCTAGAGACGGGTAACAAGTTTATAGGATGGTTTTATCTTATAACTTTTGAAGGAGAAAATACACCAGATGCGCTGCAGTGCGTGAGCGCAGCAAAGCAGTATGCGCTACTCATAGGTTATGTGTGTGACATTTATTTTTAAAAGGTTATTTACACGTGTCGCATAATACGCTTCGCCTGATTTAGATAGAGGTTCTAATTTCCGAGCTTATACACTCCTGTTAGGCAAGGAAAAATCTGGAAAATAAGCATCCTTGTTCTGTCACATATTTCTTTGAGATCTGTTACCCATATATCACTGATAGCATTGCTTACCCATTCAGCATACGTTCCCCCCTGCCCAGAAACCCGTTTCTGCTGATCCTACTTTGCAAAATCTAGTGTAAAATTTGTTTTCATAAACACGGATGTAAGCTGTGCCGCTTGCACCACGTGCTGTGCACGCGTCTGGTGTATTTCCCCCTTTATGAGGAGCCGTACAAGGCATAAATAACACTGCCACTCTCACATACATATATTTGAACTCTTGGATACTCACAGTGGTTAAAATTATTATTGAACATGGCACCAATTTTCCTAGTATATATATTTTAAGAGGTGCTTTTGACACTTTTTGACGCGTTTACCAATTGCCGATAACAAACCATGCAATCCAAAGAAATCAAACCATCCAGAAATTATGTTGTGTAATAATTTGGAATTACAATTACCTTTGAAGAAAGGGAGGTACAAAAAGGCATGGAAAGCCAAGACAGCAGCCGTAATGTCCCGGTAATTAGAAAGCAATCCTGCCCCTTGTCAGTGCAAATTAATACCACCTGGTTCAGTCCCAAATGAGGGCCTATAAAATGGTGTCTCTGGTTTCCCATCTCAGGATGGGAAAATGAAATGAAATTAGTTTTCTCAAGACCTTCGACACCTTATTGTTGCAGATAATAATTGCATTTTTTACAGAAGGATTTCTTAAAGGAATAGTACACCCAAAACATGATTAGCCTTCATTTTCTACTCACCCCCATGCTGAACAACACTCTGGAGTACTTTTTTGATAT